TGAAATGTGTAGAAATCACCACAGCTATATAATGGTGAGTAGCATATGTAATGTACTGGCTTATAGTGCAAACGGTTGATCACCCCAGGAATTTAGAATACACAATTACAATGTAGAAATTGTTCAATTTTAGGATTTTTTTTTATATACCGCATATTCACAACATAATAATGTAGTTTACATGCTTTGTCATCGAACTCTATAATTGACATAAGGTATTCGACACGAATTTCAGCCACCTTTAGCACGATAAAGACATGGGACCAACAGAGTTGCACCTCAGAACTGCGGGTTTCTTTTTAAACATGGTCAAAGTGTTAATCCACTCTACTGCAAAACAGATTATCAGAATGAATTTACTGCCATGTACTGATTTATAAACACTTCCACAGATGTTCAACTGCTATCATCTAGACGTTAATAAACAAGTTCGCACACAATAGTGTTCTAAATTCTTTTGTAAAGATTTTGCCATGTCATTTTATTGAGATGTTTGAAATCCCTCCAATCATGCATCCATCTCTTTTTAAAATTCTATTTAAAACACATTTCAAGGTTGTAGAATAATTTCATCGTTTTCGACAAATACCGGTTTTGACCATAAGAACAAAATTCCAGACAAACTATAATAATGAACATATCATATACATGTATTACAAAATTGAACATTAATTTTTATTTTTGGTCCCTTTCCTGCAGGTTTGACGACTCTTGGAGGAAGAATTTGGAGATGCAAGTTTTATTTACATAAAAAATATATACATGTAGCGCCTTTTTAAATTTTTAACGTCAGTTCGCTATTCGCTCTCAATACGAACTCTGCAGTCTATAATTAAGAGGAGATGCATCTTTTAGAGGAAGCAGCATTTTGGAACTTAAGCTTATGGAAGATATTAATATCGTCATAGATACTTGATTATACATGATAAACCAATCATCTTTTTCTCTTTTGTGTAAAGCTTAAACCATAACAGTATTGCCTCCGAGATTCAAAGAAAGTCAAATTGGTTTAGCAGAAATCGTCAAAAAGCGTGTAGGCAAATCAAAGCAAATGGTACGGTCAATTCTTCCAAGGCGAGCGTTAACAAGCAATTCGGTTTTTTTTTCTTCGGTAGGAATCAACGCGTTTCCAAACCCATTAGATATTAATTAGAACCCCAAGGAGTTGCCCACTCAAAATAACAACAAGGCTGTCAATAAAAATTGACATCATTAATTACTACCTATGCATACATTGGGTATGTATTTTGGTTCTGTTTGTTTGTTCATATGTATGTCCGTCAAAAAGATTAGATTTATTCCCAATTTAGTTTAAAAGAATGAAAAACTTCTGACTCGCAACATTAAACTTAATTTAATTTAGGTTTTGAAAAGGAGGAGGGGTATACATGTAGATGTAATGTTTTGAGAATTTTACAAAGAGAGACATCTGTTGAAGTATCACAAGCAATCAGCGATGAAAAAAAGGCATTTGTGTCATGTTATCCTTCGAATTTAAACTGATTTTTTTTTTAAATCGCTCTAATCTGTTTCTAAAATTTATCATGAATCTGCAAGATCGGGTTGTGAATTGCTTAGTCCTTAGTCAACTCTCGTTCATAAGTTCGGTACAGTAATGAAATAAGTGTATAATGCCGCCCTGAACAAAGTCGAGGGGACATATTGTTATTGTTCCACCTAATTTTGTCCACAGGATTCTCCTAGAACATTTAAAAAATCTTAATAAACTTTAAAATAACCACTAAATGTAGTACAGTGTATATGCAACAATCAAAATGGCTGCCATCGCCATGGACGGGGAGAAAGGACAGTTCGTGGTGTCATACATGTACGCTATTGTTTGCAACACACATACAGCAAAGTTTCTAGTTTTGTTTTGTTTGTTTTGTTTTTGGTTTATTTATTTGTTTGTTTGCTTGTTGGGGGGGGGGGGGCAAATAAGACTGTAAAATTCCTGTATTGTATGTTTTAAGCCAGTTAAGTTTTGTCATAAAATTGTATTTGCATTTTAAAAAATACACTTTAAACAAGATAAAGTTAGTAAAGGCCAACAATCAGTTTCACCTAATTCTGTGCGTGTATATATATGTGTTTTGTCTAATCATAAATGATCACTGTTCGTTTCCTTCACATTTTCATACTATGTAGATGAATAGTTTCATTACCTAGATGGTCCATATTGTATATTTTTAGCAAGTAAATATATTTATGTTAACTGACATATGAAGGAAAACTTTTTTACTTTTTTATTCGTCCATGCACCCACGGACATTTTCTCGGCTTCTTCACTTCTTCGCTCATGCTCTATGGGATTGAAATTTTGATGTTTAAAGCTAACAAATAATGTAAACAGAAGTAGTTCGGTACTCTGACATGTTAAAAAATCGTTATGAGCATGCAAAATCTTTATCTTTAAATGCAGTTTGCAAAAGAGGGGAATAAGTTTGCACCAAGAGCAAATGTCTAACCCCTTATTTACTGTTCTGTTGTTGAAAACAAATACATGTAGGTTCCAAACTAAAAGTGATTCGTCATATGGGAAAATCACACAGTTTTCAGTTTGTGGAATACTTTCTCATTTCGTTCATTGTCTGTTGGAGATCCTTAAATTATATCTTTGCCTCGTTAAGAAGCCGCGCCATCTCACAAATAATAAAACATCTTAGGTCATAGGTATACATTTCACCTCCCGAAACACTGTAATGTCCTGTGATGGATTGGTGGTAATTAGTTGCAATTTTCAAATAAAGAGTCAATGAAGTTTGAAATTTCATAGCACAACTAAGAGCCATGACGAAGGCGATTTAACCTTTTTTAGGTTAACCTGTGCACGCTGGGTGGATTACAAACTTTACCATTTGCAAGGGCACCTTTCATTTTTTTTTTAATTTAATAAATAGGAAATTTTCAGAAATGTATGCTAAATTTTTTACGCCCATACTATAAACGTCAAGAAAATATAAATCTTAAATCAGAAAAAGTGCCATTTTTTTTTTCAATCAGAAGCATAAAGGGATCTGCATGGATTAGTATGTTCTTACAAGTACCATAAAATACGCGAATTCTGTTTGTTCGTTTAGAGGATACGTCACTCCTAAAATGCAAAATATACTTTTTTATGACTTGTTTGACTAATTGGAGATTTTTCAGAAATTTAATACAATTCTTAAATTTCATGACCATGTGATAAACGTCAAGAAAATATAAATCTTTTTTTCATCAAGAAATTCCTGTATTTTTATTTAAAATATCATTAATTTGTAGCGGCTAGCCTATGGAACCATTCTAGAATCGAATGATTAAAAAAGTTTATGCAAGTCTGTTTTCGTTTTCTAGGTACATCACTCCCCGAAAAGTGCAAGAAAACGCCAATTTAATGCATTAATATTTTTCTTTTATTATGGGAATTTTTATTGCGTCTTTTTCGGAGAGTGTTCTTCCAAACTATAAGGATGCTGAATTTTATTTTCAGTTTTACAACTATGCGAGGGCCTAGTGATATGTTACCGGCACTACTGAAAAACATTTATCTGAAAAAGTAATCTTTTTTTATTTCAAAATTCGGTCAACGAACTTAATGAAAAGAAGAAACGAACATAAAATACTTAATTGACATAAGCCTGATAAACTTTCGTTACGAGAGATGATTATACACGAATAAAACTGCCCATTTTTAATATCGTTCGCGAGATCTTATAAGATGACAAAGACTAGAAGCCTTCTAATTGTGGATAGATCCAAATAACTCTTTAATGGGGCGGTCGACACAGTACTCCTCATATTTCATGCATTTTAATATCTTCGTTATTATCGTTCAGGTTCAAGAGTCATATTTCTTTGATTTTATTTTTTGTTAAAGAAATGTCTCAACTTGGTTTAGATTGTATAAAAATTTTAAATTTCATTTTGTTTTTGCTGTGATATCCCCCCTTAATCACAATGATTTATTTTTTTAAAATGTTATCATTCATAAAATATAATACTCCAATCAATCCATATGCAAATTGAATTTCTAATCTAATATGCAGATTTGTTTATCATATACCTACTTTCCAATAACACCTCTTTTTTCAGTTAAAGGAAAAAAATTCCCTCATATCTGTATTCCATGTTATATCAAATATATATGTTTTAAATAATAACATGTGATACCTATCTGATTCTCATAACGACAAAAGACGTTCTAGGGGTTTTTTTTCTTCAGAAAAAAATTCTATTTCTAGAAATTGGATTTCTAAAAAGTTCAATAAGACCTCTCCGTCATCCCCGACACAGGGGACGAGCATATACAATACTGGCGACAATTGATGGAAACATCAAGTTATAGAATTTTACTTCAACTTCAATTTTCAATTTTGACAAAGTATTACATTACAAATGAAAACAACTAACCGGCAAAATAACATTTTAAGCAAGAATACATGAATGAGAGGCAATTGTGTTACTATATCATGTATATTTCAGAAAATAGCAAAGTATGGAAGCCTCTGCAATTTGTATATAATATTATTTTATATACATGTACTAAAACAAATCTAGCATTGTATAATATTAATTACTGACACAGAATAAAATTTTGCAAAGTTTGGCAAGTCCAAAAATGACTGTAGTGTCGTTACTGTTCAATAGGTCATGAAATTTGATAACATTAGGATTCATATAAAATATTTGGTACAATTTTTTTTCGTTCGCCTTCAACATTCTAAATTACAAAACAAAGGGTTTATTAGAGTTATTTCCCTTGACTCGGTTTTTCTTCTCTCTTTCACGGACAAGGGATGTAATTCGAAAATTATCTAAATCGTTTAAGCAAAAGATAAAGTTTTTGTAAACATGTATGGAAATATTCGTTTTATTTTTTAAAACAATATATCAGACTCAACAAAATTAATTAGAAAGCAGTTCATCCTACTAGTTTTATCTTTTTGCTCAACTCCAAAGACCGGGAAATCGAGTGCAATTTATGACGTCATATTATCGTTTGTGACGTTCTATGTGGACGAATTATTTGCTTTGCACAGATTTGAGATAAAGATGAATTCGTCTTACAATATTGCATATATTGTAGCATGTGTGATCATTTTTGCTGTTTATGCAGCGCCTTTTGAAAAAGGAAATGTCGAGCAGAAGTCTTCCGATGGTAAGTAAAATTGAAACAGATGTCGAAATCATGAATGATAAGGGCCCCATTATGAAAGCCATTGTACTTCTATAAAGAAGTACAATATATTCTTTATTTAAATTTAACAAAATGATAGTTTGTATTACGTTCATACACCTCTTGACAGCTACAGCTTTTAAAATTAAACTTAAAGATTACAGTATTACCAGGCCCGTAAGAAGCAATTTCAGTTGGGGGGGGGGGCACAACCATACATTTTCAGTTGAAGGGGGCACTATCAACTACCAAAAATTCCTTGACAAGCAAAAAAAAAAAAAAAAAGAAAAAAAGTCATCAGACGTTTTTATTGAGGGGGCATATGGATACAGTAGCTATGTTTTCTTTAGTAATCTATATAGATCTATATCGGTAAAATTATTGGGGGGGGGGGTGGCCCCCGTAACCCCGGTTCCTACGGCCATGATTACAATGTAGTTGAATCCACACTTTTAAATACTTATGTCCCTTGGCCGCCATCTTTCGGGGAAAACACCGTACTAGAATTCCGACATTGACCTTTGTAACTTTCAAGTTGTAATCTTGTCATTTGACTTAAAAATAATTGTTGGATTTTATATTTTGACTGCCCCAGGTATTTTGATTGCGTCAGAGTGGTGTTACCCATACATTGAAAGAAAAAAAATTAAACACAGTGAATTTATCAAAGCATGCCCAAATTTTTGACAGGTATAAAGAAGAGAAACGATGTTTTTTTCCATTGACCTTTGACGTCTCTATACATGTATGAGTGAAAAACAACATACAATCAAGCAATCAATCAATCCATTGACCTTTTGGTTGACTCTGCAAAGGGAATCAACTTTTGCAAAGAGTGGCTTTATCTAGCTTTATTCTAGACCTATTTTTTTTTGCCTCGTAAAGCGGAAAGGGGGAGGGGGGTTGGAGTTGGGGGGGGGGGTGGCGGTGTGATTGTGGACAAAAATTTGGTAGAGGTCAGGGAAAATTTTTTCCCTGAAACCAACACCTTATATTGAGAGGGAGTTCAGGTTTTCTGTGTACACACAACTCAAGGGAGGACGGGGTGTGTGTGAAATATCCTGTAGAGTATCAGTCAGTATGCACCTGTAGTGATAATATTTTCTGGTAATAATTAACCAAAATGCCAATCTGATTACAAAAATAAACGTTTTCTACTATAAATACTGGCATTATTTATTATTATCTTAATTTTTTTTTTTTTTTGCAGATTTCGTACGCGAAAAAAGAAGTTCAGAGTTATTTCCTATGGACCATGAAGACAAAATAGCAGAAGAGGTGTGTAGAAAATATGTAAAATTTCCTTAAAAGATTTTTTAAAAAAATATTCCTAATATATAATCTCAAGATATAATTAAGTATGTTTAGGTACATGAAATCTGTTTCAAATGTACCAATCAATAACAACCGAATTGTACAAAATGATAACTGAGCTAAATTGAATATCTTTGGTTACTCACAGCCAGCTCCTCATACAGAGATGGTCAAAGGGAGATAATTGAAAGTTGCCTTTAGTGTACTAAAAAAATGTATAGATGAAATAGGTTTAAATATTTAACAGAAAAAAAGTTTGATTTTTTTAATAAGCCTTTTGCAATGAAAATTTTGTTTTTTATTTTTTTACTACTTCCTTTGTCTGATTTATGCTAAGAGTATTTTTTTTTCTCTCAGAAGAATAAAATAGAATAAACAAGAGGCCCATGCACCACAACACTCACCTGCGAAGCCTTGGTCTGCTAATCTTCTCCCCTTATTCTCAAGACAAATTGTGTCCTCATCCCGACTCAGAAATACTAACATGAGCTTACAGCTCGGGTGTACTAAAAAGGAAATATTAACTTTAGATAGTTCAATCCTGAGGTTCTGAAAATCAGGGGTTGATTACTTGAAAATGCTCACAAAAATGTCCCTGAGCTCTCAGAATAATCTGATTTTACCCATGGTATTTCTTCAAAGTTCATCATTATATAGTTAAACATAGGGAAAAATTATCAAATCTTAAATATATTTTCAGGAAACCCAAACAAAAGCACGCACTATGCATTTTCTAATTGACAATTGATCAACAAATGAGTTGCGTCAAGCGAAAAGGGACCTTCGTGACATAAACGTAATTACGTCACAATAGCGCTTCAAAGACGTGACGTTTCATTTGTGCGTTTGCCAATAAAAAATATTCATACGATAAAGCAAAACAAAAATATATTTGCGTAATACATATGTTAATAAAAATAGACACGCCTATAACTGTCCCCCAAAAAATGTATAATCTCGTCAATTTATAGATTTTCTGGTAATTTTTCAAAAATAAGGGTTTGTTTTTGTGGAGGTGGATTTGGTGATTATAGCGAAAGAGAAATAATACCTTGACCGGGATCAATCACTACATTAACAGTGATGTCAGATATTCATTTACCCCTTTGCGAGCATTAACAGTGATGTCAAATATTCATTTACCCCTTTGCAAGCAATCGTACTACTCGGTCATTTCCGTGAATAATAACTCGAGGAAAATGGCCGTGTTGTTACGAATGCCAAGGCGAAATGATTTCAGAGTAGAAACTTGTTTGGTTTTGTATTGTCAGCGGTCTGTTCCCTTGTCAAGGATCCTTTCAAATAAAAATTTTCTAGAGATTGAAGCATGGTTATGTTGATGATGTAGAAAAAAAGGTGAGATAATGTCGAAATTGAATATATTCCTTGAAAATTAACTACTACCTTTATTACTTCTATATAAATGTACATAATTATAGATATTTTTTTTTCTTCAACCTTAATATTATCACTATTTTACAATGTATACAATCATATAAATACTAAAATTTGTTCTTAGATATTGAAAGAAAAAAACTTTTAAAAACATCTAGAAAAAGTAATTTCTAGTCAATACAAAAGGATGATTTAGTAATGACGTTCCAATTATCAATGACGTTTTGTGACGTTATTCAACGTTTTATAGCGTCATCTTGTTAACATTGCATTGATTTTGTTTTAGAGTTTTAATTAGAATTTAAAAGGTATATAATAAAAAATTTGGTGTCAAAATATTCAGAAAAATTAGCTCTTTCAGAAACGGTCAAAAACCTATTTTCGAAAATTTTGTCACGAAGGTCCCTTTTCGCTTGACGCAACTCAAATACATTTTAGGGTAAAAAAAAACTATAGGTATCCAGGCTTTTATCAAAAATTGCATGTTTTTTTTTTAAAATATTTATAAGGTTCTTTAGTTCTTCTATTTACTGCAATTGTTATAAAGTATATAGTTTAAAAAGCTTGTGCTATCATTGAGACATCACAGATCAGTTTTAATTACATATGATAATAATAAACATTTGGTATTTAAGGCTAGATTAAAGGAAATTTGATAACTCTAAAAATGTATTTATTTTTGTACTTTTATGGAGTACAAATGTCAACTTTTAACAAGACCCTTTTTATGGTTTCAAAGAACCTGGATTCATATTGAGATGCATGAAATGAAAATTGTTGCATGAGAAGATTTCAATTTTAAACTTCATTTTGAGACATTTTTTAATTAAATAATTTTAAGAGTCATCGTTCCTGGCTGTGGAGCAAATATCCTTAAGGAAAGGAAAGAGAACCCAACATTAGTAACATAAATCATGGCTTAGTTGTTTCAGCTTTTTAAAACTTTGGTTTAATAACTTATTTTTGACCACATGACTGAGACACTCAAAAGTTCAAGAAGGATTACATTTTATGTTTAGAAAATAAAAAATTGATGTTAGATTTTCCATAATTTTATAAAATACCATGTATTTAAAAACTTTGATAACACTTCTACTTTTTGTCATTGAAATCATCTCTCTAGAAGAAAATGGGGTAGAGTGAAAGTGGAAAAAGGGAATAATTGACATAGAAGAGGGTAAGGGGGTGAAAGGGGGGGGGGGGTAGGATGGAGAAGGGGAAAACTTCTCTTTCCTATCGCACCTCTTACATATAATTGAATTTAACTCAGTGCAATGATTAAAATCTTTAACACACAATATTTTTCAGGACAGTAAAATAGATGAAGCACCAGAGGATCATGTACAACGCAGAAACTTGGACGATGATGATGAAGATTTGGATTCAGCAAAAGGAAACTCTAGTGAAATCCTAAAAAGAGAAGTGCAGGAGGATGTAGAAAAAATAAATGATGATGATGGTGATGATGATATAGAGAAGAGGGATATTGATGATGATGATGATGATTTAGAAAAAAGAGACGATGATGAAGATGATGATGATCTAGAGAAAAGAGGTGATGATGAAGATGATGATGATCTAGAGAAAAGGGATGCTGAGGAAGATGATGATGATCTAGAGAAAAGGGATGCTGATGATAATGAAGAAGATTTAGAGAAAAGGGATGCTGATGATGATGAAGATGATTTAGAGAAAAGGGATGCTGCTGATGATGATGATGATTTAGATGAAAGGGATGCTGTTGATGATGATGATTTAGATGAAAAGGGTGCTGATGATGATGAAGATGATTCAGAGAAAAGGGATGCTGATGATGATGAAGATGATTTAGAGAACAGGGATATTGATGATGATGATGATGATGATGATGATGATTTAGAGAAAAGAGGTGATGAAGATGATGATGAAGATTTAGAGAAAAGAGGTGATGAAGATGATGATGAAGATTTAGAGAAAAGGGATGATGAAGATGATGATGATTTAGAGAAAAGAAAAGATGATGATGATGGATCTGATGACAACAATGAAGATAAAAGAGAAACTGCTGGAGTAGAGGTTGATGATGATGATGAGGATGTAGATATTGATGTAAGTGGTCAATCAAAAAGAAGTGATGCCGGGATGAGTTCTGATGATTATGTTGAGCAAAATGATATTAAAAAAAGAGATGTTTCTGATGTCCGAATGGAAAAACGTGAAATTGAGGATGAAATAGGAGATGAAGACATAAGTGATGAAGACATTCAGGATGAAACATTACGGGATGTAAATGAAAATGATGATGAGGATATTGATTTTGAAGGAATGGAAAATAATAACATCGAGATAAGAAATGCAGAGGAGGATGACAATGATGAGAACAGAAGGGATGCAGAAGACAATGAGGTAACAGAAGAAGATGCAAGAGATGAGGAGGAGAAAATTACAAGGGGGGCATCAAATGAAGCAACAAATATGGAATCAGGTGAAGATAAAGAGACAAGGGAGGCAGATATTAAAGATGGCACAAAATCCGGGAGCTTTGACAAACTGATGGAGGAACTGCAAGACTTGACTTCAAACACAAACAGTGAAAGCAAACGAGAAGATTCAGCAAGTATAGACAATAATGCAGAAAAGAGGGGTGCTAATAACCAGGGGGATCCTAATAATACATTATCAGCAGAACAGATCCAACAGGAAATAAACAAATTATTGAAACAGACCAAATAACTAAAATGTACTCGACATGAATTTAAATGCATGCTTATCATACATTACTGAAGTAAAATTAGATTAAAGAAATAATTTTCTTGACAGTATAAACTAAATATAATTGTGATTCTATTCTTAAATTCCTTTGTACAACTATATTTTGTATTAATTTGATGTTGAATTTTTGATTTGTTTGATTGAAAGGAAGAAAAACATTAAGCTTCTTTGGTAAGTCATGACAACACAGAGAAAAGGGTTTGGTTATAGAAGATTATCAAAATAAATGATTTTTTTATAAAGCTGATTTAGTTGATTTCTGTATGATATTCAGTCATATAATAAAAAAAAAAGGATGGACAGAAACAAATTTGGCAACATAGTATTCTCAGAGTCTGTACAAAACTCACTTTACTAACTTTTATGTTGGTTTTTGATTTTGACAAAAGATGTTGCAATGGTTACTAAAAATAGAAATTTCTGTGAAATCTTCCAAAAATGCTACTCCTCCACCAGTTTGGTCTGATTTCTGTAAGAGTTGGTACACAAGTAGACTAGACTAAGATCATGATGCAAAATTCAGTGTATGAAAAATAGCGTAAATATTTCTTTTATTTTAAGCTTTGAGCTGCACGTACTGTCTGTATTTTCCAGTGTCCAAAAGTCAATAAACATCAATGTCATAATTTTACAAGCTACAGACCCGAAGTATCGGGCAGACCCGTGGAACGCGGGGGGGGGGGGGGGGTCATTTTCTGAGTATAGTATTTTGCTATATAAAATTTCCTTCATATGCTGGTTGCCCCCCCCCCCCATTTTTGTTGCAGTAAAGTCGAGAAGTGGCATATTCCAGGATTTGGACGGTTAATTACTTTTTTTTTTCAATTTTTTTGTTTGGCAGATTTGGGTGTGTGTGTGTGTGTGCCCCCCTTACTTTTTAAGTCGTTTAAACGGACCTGTCGGGGGGACACCTTTTTCTCCAAACCTTGAAACCTTGGACCTTTTACCTTGACAATGTTCATTGAAAGGGCGTTTCCCCCCCCCCCCCCCCAGCAGTATAGTCAAATTGGAAACACCCCCCCCCCCATACACAGTAATGAATAGGTTTTCAAGATTGCGACATTTTTACCTTTGTTTACACTGTATATTTTTATTATTATTTTTTACTTGTCAAAGATTTTTTTAGGTAAGTTGTCAAATAATTTTCCTGACTCCCCTCCCCCATTTTCAAAAAAAAAAAAAAAAACCCAAACAAACTACGTCCCTGAGTTTAATGGTGAGATCTTCATACAATTTCATTTTCTGTGTGAAACATTTTTCAAGTGCATTAGCAGCCAATAACAATTCAAAAAATTTATTTTCACTCGTGGCCAAATATTTGTCGAGACTTCTAAATCGGTTCCACAGCCTTTTAAAACTGTGACAAGTCTCTTCATATAGAAGGCGATAACTGGATTTCGTTGTAGAAATTGCGTAAACTTATCACAACATTACCTTTAATCAAACAAATATGTGTACGTAACCATTTAATCTCATACCTTTGTTCCTTATGGTCTCCAAGACCAGTTGACTTTAACCATTAACCTCATATCCGTTGATCTTGTACTATTGCCGCCAAACTAAACATGGATAGTGCAGTTTGACGTTTTTGAAGCTAATTCTTGCCCCGACTCTATGCAGATACAAACACTTCGTCATTGTTTGCGCAAAGGCTGGGCACAACTTCATACTAGGGCATGGTAAAACATCAGACTGAAAGTGGTCACGATGTGTAGTCACTATAACCCCAAACACCCTCCCTTCCCTTGTAATGCAGTGTTTTATGTTTACTAATAAAATAAATCACCTAATGTTTAGAACTGGGTCAGAAAGTACCTTCAGGTAGAAGCAAAACGAACCATATTACAAGTGAGCAATTAAAAATTAGAGCAACCAACATCAAATAAATAATGAAATTAAATAAATATCGAATTAAAAAACAACTATGACATAAAAAAGCAAAGATCAACATTTACTTTTGAAGAATTTGTTTGAAGGTTGAAAATATTGATCATATCTTAAAATAATCCACAATAAATCTACTTATGATGATATATGACGTGTCAAACGTTGCAATATTTGATCTTTTCCATTTGCACAGCTGCCCAGCAGGATAGCGGGAGATTATCAAAGCATTAATGCATTTTCACTCCATGATCAATAGATTACCGCCCTGAAACCAGAAACTCTGACCCAGGGAATGAATTTCACAATTTTGGAAGAGGCACCGTTGCATTTAGTTGTCTGCTAATACATGTATGCAGGGGCAGAGAAGAAGATTTTTAGAGGTTTTATACATTTTACTAAATGATCAATAAAGTCCCGCCCTGAAAAATTTTGAACTTTTGAAGAAGGAGGCATCCTTGCTGATCATAACCATGGATTTAGTTTGTCCACTAATATCCAGGGGTAGAAACGATTTTAAAGAATTTATGCATTTTCACTATATGATCAGTAGAATCCCGTCCTAAAATTAACCAAAACCTCTGACCCAGGGGCCATGAATTTCACAATTTTGCTCATCACAGTTTTGGAAGAGTCATCCTTGCTCATCAAAACCATGCACTTAGTTTGACTGCTTTATATACAGGGTGGGAGAAGAAGCTTTTCAAAGAATTAATATATTTTCACTATTATAATATGATCAATAGAGCCCCAACCTAACTCCAGAACCCTGGCCCTGGGGATATGAATTTCACAATTTTAATAAAAGTTTCATTGCTTGTTATAATCATGCTAAAGGTTTTGACTGCTTGGCGTCCAATAGTAAAAAGAAGATTTTTGAAAAATTGCATTGATTTTTATGGTTTTTGGCCCCAACCCTCGACCCCAGCGGGCAGGACCAGAAATTCAAAATTTTTCCTCCTCCCCTTTTGTCCAAAGATGCTCTATACCAGAATTGGTTAAAATAGTTAAAGTGTTTATGAAAAGAAGCTGAAAATGTTCAAAAGTTTACGACCGACGGACGAAAACGGATAGCAATAGGTCACTTGAGTGGTTAAGGTGACCTAAAAATCATTAAAGCTCAGTGCACAATTTCAGGGTGATCAAAATTAAGTTACCTTGACCTTAAAGATAAACACGACTCTCCTGTACATCTTGTGCAACAACCACAGGCACTTGATGTTTAAAACATTCTCTTCATAAGTAAAAAATCAATACTGTAATGATTTATTATCGTACGGAATGGGATTTTTTCCTTATAAAGAAAAAGTTTAAAATTAACGTCAAGTGCATGCCTAAGGCAAAGGCATATGATTCAATTCCAGTTAAGGTTTTTAATCATGATTTCAAACAACAAAATTAAATGACCTTGGCCTTGAATCTGACCCATTACACCATTAAGTTGAATTCCTACAAGTCTTGCTAAGTTATTGAACAGACACATTGTGCGACAGACAGACAACCGATGCAAAACCAGAGAGTAATCTATTATTTTTATTAGTTTCAGGTTTGAACGTATGAATTAATATGAATATCTAAAACTGTCCCATTCATAAATACAAATAAAATTTTCAAACATATGGGAACTGATAAGAATCTACTGTAGCAGATGAGCCCCCCCCCCCCCAAAAAAAAAAAGCTAATCAATTGAATGTAATTATGAATATGCAAAAAATATGTCTATAGCTACTACCTAGTATTTTGATATGCAAAGCAGACATTTTTGGCATCTTCTTGTCCTCTACATGAATATAAAGACTCGATGCTTCGTAGGTACAGATGACATTTCTTCAAAACTTCAAGTTGCCTCTGAGCATCGGAAGCTTCTTTAAATTACCTCTAAACATTCGTAAGTAATATTAGCATTGAAATGAAGAAGAGTAATAGACCTCAAGAAAATTGAAAAAAAAATAAAGATATTTACTTAAATAAAAGGTAAAATTATTTCATCCATTTGTGACAGAAAAGTTAACCCCTTTCAAAGACACTTTCGATAAAATAACTCTTAACAAGTACATCGACGAAAAGAAGTTGTCGATGGCATATTTATATTTATAAAATATATACTAGTAGTGATAAAACTGCCACTGACTTCAATGAGAGGTGACTGAATCAATGACAGAGCTCTGCCATTCTGCCACCTTCCGAAAACTTTCGGTAACCATTCAATCGACTGAAAGGTACCGTTTCATCCTGACTTATGTCTTGTCCTCAAATTCACACATGAGTCTCTTTTCTAATTTAATGAGATGTTCATACACATTAACAAATAATATGCCAACAAATGCATGAATGAATTAGATTGTTATGAACATCTGCATCACTGCAATTTGGACCATTTACTAATGTGCAAGTTTTTGCAACTACAGTGTATTTTATTTGAAATTAATTATTATAATTAATAATTAACAATTAATACGTATAAATTAACCCTCGTTATTTCAACTTTAGGCGTAATTTATATACGGCAGCAAATCTTTTGTGAATTCTCTTAACAACATGCGGGTTAACTCGTATCCATTTTACTGCCTTGATCATCTACATTGTCTGTTTCCATGTCGGTCTCATTTTTTGGGTCTTTTTTGCCTTCCATCATCTTTTCTTCAGCTTTCAATAATGCTGCCACGTCACCCTTTTCCTTATCACTCATCTCAGCCCCCGTACCCTCCTTTCCCTTTGTTTCCTCTGAATCTATTCCTAATCTTTCCTTTTCCTCTTTCTGTGAATTTCTTTTCATTTTTTCCTCCTTTTTCTTCCATTCCTCGTTGGAAGCCTCATCGATATCCTCGCCTGACTCGTCCTCTAACTTTCTTTTTTCCACCTCTTTCTGGTTTTCTAAGGATTTCTCCACCATTTTATCTACCTTTGCACTTGACACTAACTCTTTTCCGTTTGTTTCATCATCCGGGGAGTTGTAACCTGCCTCCATCTTTCTGATGTAATCTTTCAGTTGCTCGCGATCTTCCTCACTTTTGATGGTCTCTAGCCAGTAGCGAACACAGCTTTCTAATGTATTTTCTAACGTCTCGTGCTCCATTGCCTCCTGCAAAGTAAACTCCACAAACGGACGTTTGTAATGTTCATAACCAAATTCTCCTAGAAACTTCAAAATCCTGGTAATCCTTAAATAGTTATGGTACGATCTGCAAAGACAAAAAAAAGTTTCATTAATATTTCTAGTGTTTATTAGCTTTATTTGAGTGAAAATGGTTATCAGGTTCCTTAACTATCTAGCAGACAACGCAATTCTCATGTTGGCCAAAGTGTTCGCAGTATAGGGTGCATTAACTTTTATTGGCAAAAAATTTGCAAGCATTGCAAATAATAGCACACTAAATCTGGGAATGATCCAGATTCAAGGTCATACACATAAAATGCAATTTTGACATACTTTTTCATATCTATGCAGTATATTATTATCTTGCCATTTTGTGCCGATCAAGTACATTGTAAAAATGCAGTTCCCCCACGAGCTAAACACAACTCCCCACCCTTAATCTGACATTAATTCGTAATTATCATAAATTTCTCCAGTACACCTGTTGTACATCAAGGTGAAGTCCTGTTGAATCTTAAACATATAGATGCCAAAATAAAAGGATAAAATCGTCAGAAGCTACATTAGATACTGATTAGATATCAAAAACCCAAACGCTACAACTGGTTGTGCACTTGGAAAGGAATTTCTGAAGAGGTTGTTTGAATATGTTGAAGAGGCCCTTAAATTCCCTCTCCCACATAGTAGTGCAACGACAGTAAATCCTGCACTGATTAAACAAATACATCAGATAACTATTATTGAATATTGAACACTTACGGATTTATCAGGTTATCTTATTGATCTGAGTAACCCGAAAGGCATTTTACTTATGAGGTATATATCTTATGCTTTATTTCTTTTGGTAGCAGACCCAATCATGAACTTGAAATACATGTTCTAGGGGAGTTTGAAATAAAATTAACTTGCAGCTTCATTTGTCCAATTTCCGTGAGATTTCAGTGTCACCTCTGCTGTATACGTAGATGTGTAAAACAGCTGGCTAGGTCTGCTTCGACGAAATTATTCAAGATATCTTAGTTAATAAATAAAGGTAAAGAACACTGTACATGTAATGCCAGCTATCTATCCTTATTCAAAAAAAAAAAAAAAAAAAAATAACATAACTACATGAATTTCATATTGACCAAATAAAAATTACTTTGTTAATACGAACTAGCAGCAAAAGAAGGCTTATGATCAGAGTATACACCTTTCAGCATTGCCAAGTTACAGGGATCGTTTTGCCTTTTTTTTCAAATTGCATGAAAGGTTAGCCAGTTATTGCCTCGACACGATTCCTACGATAACTAAGGTTGACTTTCTATATAAAAAAGGTTAGTCATCAAAGAGGTGTAAATTGGTGTTTTATCATTGTTGATAAGCTAGTTTTGTCGTGTTTACCTATCCGTTTAGCTTTTACACAAGGTTTTGTTGCCATCTACATGTCTTTGGAAAGTATATATCAAGTTAAAGAATTGTAGCCTCTATCTAAGCATGTAAACAACTCTTTCGTCAACAGAAGCAAACAGGAGATAGTTCAATACCCTAATACATAACCATTTGTTCGTTTTTTGCATTAACTCCTATTGATGTTATTTTTAAGGTACAACCTTTCAAGCAAATGACAAATTGTGTGGAAAAAGGTGACTTTTTCTCTACCTATGGATAACACTTGCCGTGACAAAAATTAAAGTCAAAGTCATTCAAACTCTGCGTTCACTGAAATAAGCAACTTCATGATATGATCTATATCCATTTAAATTTCTTTCTGAAAAGAAAAATTATACGAACATGTACTGGATACCATGTATAATCCGTGTCCTTTATTTTAAATCACTATTACTTAAGAAAATTACATCTAAATCATTAATTCAGTAAACAGGTAACTGGTCAAAAATTTTGTGTACACTTTTTTGAAGACAATTTGAATTCATATTTATATTTTACATAATATACCCTACAAGCAGTAACTACTGAAAATGAAAAGCTCTCTCAAAGTATGCAAAGCCATTTGACAGTAAACGATCTCCGTTTTGTATACTTTTTAGCTCACCTGAGCTGAAAGCTCAAGTGAGCTTTTCTGATCACCCGTTGTCCGTCGTCCGTCCGTCCGTCTGTCCGTCTGTCCGTCCGTCCGTCTGTAAACTTTTCACATTTTCAACTTCTTCTCAAGAACCACTGGGCCAATTTTAACCAAACTTGGTACAAAGTATCCCTGAGTGATGGGGAGTTTAAATTGTTAAAATAAAGGGCCAAGTCCCCTTACAAGGGGAGATAATCAAGAAAAGACAAAATTAGGGTGGGGTCATTAAAAAATCTTCTTCTCAAGAACCACTGGGCCAGAAAAGCTGAAACTTATGTGGAAGCATCCTTGGGTAGTGTAGATTCTAAATTGTTAAAATCATGACCCCCGGGGGTAGGGCGGGGCCACAATAGGGAATCCAAATTTTACATTGAAATATATAGGAAAAATCTTTAAAAATCTTCTTCTCAAGAACCACTGGGCCAGAAAAGCTGAAACTTACGTGGAAGCATTCTGGGATAGTATAGATTCTAAATTCTTAAAATCATGACCCCCGGGGGTAGGGCGGGGCCACAATAGGGAATCCAAGTTTTACATTGAAATATATAGGAAAAATCTTTAAAAATCTTCTTCTCAAGAACCACTGGGCCAGAAAAGCTGAAACTTATGTGGAAGCATCCTTGGGTAATGTAGATTCTAAATTGTTAAAATCATGACCCCCGGGGGTAGGGCGGGGCCACAATAGGGAATCCAAGTTTTACATTGAAATATATAGGAAAAATCTTTTAAAATCTTCTTCTCAAGAACCACTGGGCCAGAAAAGCTGAAACTTACGTGGAAGCATCCTGGGATAGTATAGATTCTAAATTGTTAAAATCATGACCCCCGGGGGTAGGGCGGGGCCACAATAGGGAATCCAAGTTTTACATTGACATATAGAGGAATAAATCTTTAAAAATCTTCTTCTCAAGAACCACTGGGCCAGAAAAGCTGAAACTTATGTGGAAGCATCCTTGGATAGTATAGATTCTAAATTGTTAAAATCATGACCCCTGGGGGTAGGGCGGGGCCACAATAGGGAATCCAAGTTTTACACTGCAATATATAGGAAAAATCTTTAAAAATCTTCTTCTCAAGAACCACTGGGACAGAAAAGCTGAAACTTATGTGGAAGCATCCTTGGGTAGTGTAGATTCTAAATTGTTAAAATCATGACCCCTGGGGATAGGGCGGGGCCACAATAGGGAATCCAAGTTTTACATTGAAATATATAGGAAAAATCTTTAAAAATCTTCTTCTCAAGAACCACTGGGCCAGAAAAGCTGAAACTTATGTGGAAGCATCCTTGGGTAGTGTAGATTCTAAATTGTTAAAATCATGACCCCCGGGGGTAGGGCGGGGCCACAATAGGGAATCCAAGTTTTACATTGAAATATATAGGAAAAATCTTTAAAAATCTTCTTCTCAAGAACCACTGGGCCAGAAAAGCTGAAACTTACGTGGAAGCATCCTGGGATAGTATAGATTCTAAATTGTTAAAATCATGACCCCCGGGTGTAGGGCAGGGCCACAATAGGGAATCCAAGTTTTACATTGACATGTAAAGGAATTAATCTTTAAAAATCTTCTTCTCAAGAACCACTGGGCCAGAAAAGCTGAAACTTACATGGAAGCATCCTGGGATAGTATAGATTCTAAATTGTTAAAATCATGACCCCCGGGTGTAGGGCAGGGCCACAATAGGGAATCCAAGTTTTACATTGACATATAGAGGAATAAATCTTTAAAAATCTTCTTCTCAAGATCCACTGGGCCAGAAAAGCTGAAACTTATATGGAAGCATCCTGGGATAATGTAGATTCTAAATTGTTAAAATCATGACCCCCGGAGGTAGGGCGGGGCCACAATAGGGAATCCAAGTTTTACATTGAAATATATAGGAAAAATCTTTAAAAATCTTCTTCTCAAGAACCACTTGGCCAGAAAAGCTGAAACTTATGTGGAAGCATCCTTGGGTAATGTAGATTCTAAATTGTTCAAACAGGACCCCCCGGGGTAGGGCGGGGCCACAATAGGTATTACAAGGGGGGGGGGAAATCTGGTAAGGACAGCATGGCCAAAGTTACTCAGGTGAGCGATGTGGCCCATGGGCCTCTTGTTGTCCATACTACAGATTAGTGCCGAATATTTGTCTTCGTAAGTCTAATTGTTTTTGTTTTTCCTGGGGCTCATAAAATAATAGACGTCACTGTAAATCATGATTAATTCAAATAATGGCGCCTATTTCGAAAGCTGAGAAACAAGAGACTGTGGTATTGCAAGAAATCAACAAGACACGGGGGGAAAAGGGAAGGAGAAAGTTTATCGTTCTTCCAGACGACTGTTCATTTGTCACCCTAAGTGTGACAGGGAGATACTTCTAATCATGTATAAATATTGAATTTACACCTTTATAAGGGTCCGAGGGTGACGACCACTCGCCAAGCTATCGCGATGCAGGAGATAAATTGCCCCTAAACATGCATATTATCCCAGTACTTCTATCCATATCATAATAAAGGCGAAAGATTTCAATAAAAGGTATTTTTGCTTTAAAATTTTGTCATTCAAATATTAATCTACATATTTCACACGGAGAGCATCTTTTCCTGTACACTTGTTTTATCTTTAACTAAATGTATGGCGAAGTTTGAAGCCTGCATGTATCGTAAGACGGGAATAATGCCAAAATATAATAAAAAATACACAGTCATCGGTAGTTCACTGAAAGTCTCTGTTATCACAATGCACCTAGAAACATGACAAATCACGAAAAACGTTAATTAAAAGTAAACATAGTAACAAAGTTTGGTTCTATACACCTGTATGTATGGAAAAGATCCACCCAACATTGGAAGGTCGATTATCTGTCTTGTAGTCCTTTAAATAACACTTAGGGAGGGCACAGTCACGTTGGGGCGCTAGACTTCAAAGCAGAACTTTTCCAGGTATTAAAAACGTTTGTTGTATTTTGCACTTAAAAAAACGAAACATCAAAAGTGCATAAATCAAAGGGCATATCAACAGCTCTGACAATGTGG